CTAGCTCTATAGCTTGTTTTGAGGGCAGAAGTTGAAACAATTTATATCCAGGATGTGAGGGGTCTGTAGATATTTTCACAGCCCTTTTTTGGACTCCTGCAGTGTGCAGGTCCTCAATGGAAGGCAGGTTGGTAGTAAATGTTTTTCCTGCAGTTCTGATTATCCTCTGAAGTCTGTGTCTGTTTTCTTGGGTTGCAGAGCCAAACCAGACAATTATAGAGGTGCAGATGACAGACTCATAAAACAATCTCTTTTCCCCAAGTTTTCCCCATTTGTTGGAGGGAAAATGTAGTGTGTGAACCGGCCTCTCTCAAATACTTCATCTGTTTGCTTACACAGAACGAAGAACTATAATTATGCTCTGCTTGCATTAAAGCTCAAGGTCAGAACTCTGTGATTTAAGCTAACCATTGAGAGGCAACGGCTACAGCAACAAAATTAACATGGATTTGGTAACATGTTTTATTTTCTCTCTCTCTTTTTTTTACGAACTCCAATCCAGTTTTATTAGGGATTTTGATACTAATATTCACAATTAACTTTCACAAATGAGAATACTGCTCTCTCAGGTTCCAACCAGCATAAATGAGTGCCAATATATTAGTTCGTAAATAACATATGAGATAGAAGTCTGAAGGCTCTCCGGAATCTGCAGAAATGCAGCAACCTTTAAGAAAAAAAATTCAGAAAAAGGAGCATTTGCCTATTCTCTAAATCAGGGGTGTCAAACTCGATTTCATTGAGGGCCGCATCAGGGTTGTGTTTGATCTTGGGGGGATGGGGTGGGCATGGCCTGAGGCGGACCACAGGTGGCCATCCCGAGCTCCATTTTCGCTGGCAGAGGCACCGTCGGCCGGTCCTTCGCTGAATCCAGGGTGGCCCCCAACGGACCAGATCTAAGCATCCCGTGGGATGGATGCGGCCCCCGGGCCTTGAGTTTGACACCCCTGATCTAAATAGTCTAGTGAAGAACTAATATGACCTGTTCCGTAAGACTTAGTGAGTCCACTCTGCCCAATGTATTTGTAAATAAATGCAAAAATGACAAAAATTCATGAGCTCCCAAGTACCTCATTCAAAATAAAATCATTGTTTATTTTTTAAAAATTTTATTTTAGATTTCCCCCCTATTTTATTTTTATAAATAATAGCAATAGCAATAGCAGTTAGACTTATACACCGCTTCATAGGGCTTTCAGCCCTCTCTAAGCGGTTTACAGAGTCAGCATATCGCCCCCACANATCATGGCTTCAAAATCTAAGGGACTGGTTTGGACAAAACTTAATAGTACTTTTCAGGCTGTTGATAAAAATAGGATCGCCAACATGATCGCCAATGTCCAATGACGGATATGGCACAAGAAGAAGAAGACAGATAAAGCCACTTTCTGAAGAACAACACTCCTACCCTTTTTAAATTGTTTTGGTCTTTCTTGGAATCTGCCAAGGACTATGCAAGGAAAGCAACATATTTTCAGAAACACCCAGTAAATATGGTCAATTTAATTTTTCCTCTTTCAGCTTTCATGTAGGGCCACAATCAGGTGTCTTTTATCTGCCATTCAGAAATGATTAAAAAAAAGTTTTGTTTGTTTTCAATCCCAGCCACACAAAAATGAATACATTGCTGACATCTGCTTCCACATCTTGCAAATCCATACAGAAGTCATCAGCTTCCAGCAATAAGTTCAGATGTTTTGGATAATGACACTTTTCCTTTTCTTTGAGTGGGAAAGCTGTACCTTCTTCTAGTATTATGGTAAAGCTGCTAGGCCTTAATTTCATTTATCTGCATTATGGCAAGTATCCAAGATCTGAAACTGAATTGACAAAAAAAAGTTGGAACCAGGGGAGATATGAGAGAAAAGCAACATGCAGAAATAGCTGGGCCTATTCATTGAAGAGTTTGCTGCAAACCTGACTGGAAAAACCTAAATAACCCCTTAGGTTCATTCCTAAAAGTTGACACTTAACATGCTAACACATGCAAAGTCAATGTCAGATCACTCCTGTTCCATCACTGTAATTTGTGTCATTAACTGGTTATTTCACTGTATTCATAAATGAGAAATGTTTAGAGTGGGTTTTGTAAAAAATCAAACAGTGCAAGCACCCAAAACCTTTTTCCCCCACAGGCAATTCAGCAAACAGGTCAAACAATGGATAATAAAGAACATACTTGTCAACTGCAGTCTGAATGGCTATTTCTGAGTGACTTCACAGCAGTTTACCAATAAGATGCCTCAAGTTCCACTTGGATTTTGATGTACTAGAGCAAAAGAAAAATATTATCCTGTTGAATGCCTAGAAATACCAGAACAAGTGTTCACATTAAGGCGGCCTGTTGCCAAATTGTTGAAGGAAGCTCATTTGATGTTTACTTTCCAAAACAAAGGGATGTTGGCAACAAATATTTTTTTAATTTGGTAGATTGCCAATGTATTCATTATCTAGCACAACCTGCTCACCTTTAGAAAGCATCAGTGATATATAACATGCTGTATGCAATATCTCTAGTGGCTAGAAACACAAGACAATGTCATAAAATTAGAGACACCAATCTAGAGACAAGTGTAGATGGAGCAGCCCAACCTTTTATAAATCCCCCCACAGTAGCAGCAAATGTGAGTAAATTAAGACAGGCAGGAACTGCATCAAAAATTGCAACCTTATGTTGCAATTCCCACATTCCCCTCAACTGCAAATAATCAGCAGAGAGGTGCCTCTAAAATCAGTATTAGGAAAGGAAAAGTGAGCTAGCTTACTCCAGTGATGGTGGGAATTGGATAAAGGGATTGCACCTCTACAGTGCAATCCCTGGCATGTTTACTCAGAAGTAAACGTTTCAGAAGAACTATTTATGAATTGCACTCTTGGTTCTTAAAGAACACCAGCTTCAATAAAATGTGTGGAACTTCGAGACTCTTTTGGATCTTAGTAGAGTAGAGCTTAGTAGAGCTCAAAGGACAAATTAGATATCGTCCAGCTTGATTGATCTGGGCTGAAAGCCTCAACTGAAGTCCTAGTAATAGAGAGGACTGTTGAGCAGATTCCTGGGCATCAGGAAAGGAAAAGGCCACCCATCAGTTGGGATCAAGGAAAAAGATCGCGAACCTTTTTCACACAGATTGCACCTCTTTCCAGCCACCCACCAGACCTCCCCACTCCCCACCGTTGATTCCCTGCTTCCCTGCCTGGACAACTAGGACTTTTGGAAGCCACGAGGCAGACCGGATCGGAGCAAGAAGCCTGGAATCGAGGCAACCGGGAGAGTGAGCAGGGGTTCTGAGCCACTCTCTGGAGAATAAATGCGCTTTTAAGCCCAGATCTGTGGGAGGCAACAACGTTGCTCCTCCCTACCCCCTAAGATCTTCCAAAGTAGATTTGCTTACACAAATACATTCGCCCGCTACCCTCATTTGCCCCGATCTCTCCTCCCCCAACACCCCCTCCCTCCCTCCCGCTGGTTTGGAAGGCGCTCGCACACTTTTCCAAGCCCGCCCCACTCACCGTGCGCTCCGTCTCGACAGATCGGGCGCCTTCTGCTGCGCGCGGCTCTCCGGGGACCATGCTCCGAGAATCCGGGCCGTGAAGCGCCTCCTTCTGGGTACCGGCCCTTCCAGAGCATCGAATTCGCTCCCTGTACCGGAGAGATACAGTCGCCGCGGGGCCAGGTTAGAGAGATGCCCTCGCCAGAAAAAGCTACGGAGGGAGAGGACCCGTAACTCTTTCAGGCGGACAGAGATTTCGCGTCTCCCCGATTTGGGACGGAGCCCAGAATAGGGGCAGGCGCGCAGCCCCCCCCCCCCCTCCGCAACATGTTTTGCCGCGAGGGACTCGCCGCTGGCCTGCTCTTTCCCTTACCTCCCGGCGACGGCAGCTCCACGGCAGCTCCTGCGTTCAGCCGGCCCCGGAGGCCATGGGATCGCTCCACTAAATATCCGACCTTCACGTCGCCAGCATGGCCAGGAGATGCCCGGCGCGCTCAGCGCCCTCCTGTGGGGAAAGTTCGGGTTATAGCGGCTGAGGTCCCGGACAGAAGCGGCAGGGCAGGCCCCGATCCACGGACTACCATCCACGCCGGCCCGCACAGCTCAATCCGCGCAGCCAGGAAAACCCGCCAAGGGGGCGCCCAGCCTGCGGGACTCGGACTCGTGACCGGCAGAACTCCAGTCCAGGCGGCCTCTGGGAGGGAGAAAAGGACCGGCTCCATCTCAGCGCCGAGCTGAGTCCGGTGTCAAATTCCAGGCTCAGCTGTCACCTGATCCCCAGAGCGGGGCGGAGCGGGTTAGTCCCGACGAAGAGAGAGAGACAGATATCCACGGAAAGGATGGGGAAGGAGCCCCCCGCCATCCCCTTCCTCCTGGGGCCAAGGGAATTTAGAAGCAGACGTCGCCGATTGGCCACCTGTGCGCCGAGGGCTTGGGCATCTTGTATAGGCGAGCACTTTTACACTGGAAACGAGGGGGAGCCCTCTGGAAGCTGGCAAGAAATAATGAATGCTGAACTCAAGGGCTAAAACCCAGCACAAATTTGGCTCAAATAAATTAAGGACTGGCTCCTTTGTTTTCTTATGGTCCTTCTGGTCCTAATACTCACCTCACTGAGCCCTGCTGCACCAGACGAAGAACACATGTGCAAGTAAGCAGAAGTTGCACACTTGCTGGGTGATCACAGTAGCAGAAAATATTTTTGTCTATTCATTGCCTTGGGCAACCCTAAAGGCACCAGTTTTGACAGTCTTTTTGTCCAAAGAGGAGAGAGTGATTAGGAAGATCTTCACAAGAAGAGAGAGAGAGAGAGAGAAAAGCCCAGATAAATGAATAGAAACAGTGGCCGTTTCTATTGCAATCACTACTTTTAGGGGAGATATAAAGTAACACAGCAATGATGAACATGAGACAAATATGGAAACGCAAGGACATCAACCTGGCAATCAAATGTAGGTTAGTTCATTGGGTTCCCCATAACTTCCTATGGTTGTGAAATTTGCACCTTAAAAAATGAACAGGATGAAAATTTATTTGTTTGAGTTATGGTGGTGGAGAAGACTCTTGCGTATTCCTTAGACAGCAAAGGCAACTAACAAGCAAGTACTGGAGCATGTAACACCAGACATGTCATGTAACACAAAGGCAAAGATCACAAAGCTGTGATTTTGGCTCACTTATTTTGGCCATGTCATGCGAGGAAATTCACTGGGGAAAGCAATTACACTTGGAAGAATTAGTGGTAAAAGGAAAAAAAACACAGAAAAATCAAAGAACACAGCTGGACACCATTAAAGCCAGAGCCTAGAAAAACTCAAAGAATAGTCAAGATTGGAAGAAGTGGAGGGACCTGGCCCACAGAATCATCAAGAGTCTAACCAACTGAATGGTTAACATCATTATCAGAGTACCACAGGATCACTGACAAACTCTAAGCACCAGTTCTCAGACACTAGCTTGGTAGTCTTGAAAAAATTCACAGTTCTGAGCTTGGTTGAAGGCTCTTGGATATGCAATATGGTCTAGAACATGTGGGACTAACCTTTAGCCCTGGGGGCCAGATCCAGCCCACAGGGTACTTAGATCTGGCTTGCAGGACCACTCTGGAAACAGTGAAGGACTGGTCCGCAGTGCTTCTGCCAACAAAAACAGGCTCCCGAGCTCCATTTTTGGCTGCCACAGCCTCCTGCAACCCTCTGCCAGTGAAAACGCCTGCAGCCCTCCCGAGCTCTGTTTTCAGGGTTGCAGGAAGCTGGCAGCCAAAAATAAAGTTCAGAAGCCTCTTTTCACTGGCAGAGTGCTCCGGCCATCACCGGCACCCTCAACAGGAGTGATGTCAAGCTGGCCACGGCCACTATGGCCATGCCCACCCTGGGCTCCTGAGGTCAAACACAACCCTGATGCGGCCCTCAATGAAATTGAGTTTGACACCCCTGATCTAGCACAGTGTTTTTCAAACTTGGCAACTTTCAGATGTCTGAGTTTCAACTCCTAGAATTCTCCAATGCACCTGGAGAATTCTAGTAATCGAAACCCACAAATCTTAAAGTTGCCAAGTTTGAGAAACATTGATAGCACAAATAAATTGGAAATTTTTATTGCATTCTTGAAGTTACTTAAATACTTTATTGGCTTTTGTCAGCTTGAAAATGCAGTCCATTCTTAACTCACAACAGATTACCGTAATCCCACAGTTTTTTTCCCTGCCGCCCTTCCCACAGTTCTGCCTTGCACTTTTTGGTCTTGAAACTGAGGTTTTGTTCATTGTTGATATAATTGACATTTCTTGACAGAAACTCTGGCTGCCATGTTGACTCCCAGACTGTTGCTCAGAGTTCACAGCAATTGTTGCTCCTCTGAAAGTTCTGGTAATTTAACAGATGAAATGGACTAATTTGTTGCAGTGCTCTACATCCAAATGATTATGGATGTGTTTGTCTCTAACAAGGTGTCATGCATTGTGTTAATGATGCTACTCTTCCATCTTCTACATTTCCTTGGCAGAACCTCTGCAGTTCTTATTTTCAGGTTCTCAGATGTAGAAGACATAGACATCTGATACAAACTAAATAAACAAATAGGATATTGTGCATTACCATGCCACAGTGCAGTCCTAGCCTTTTGTATTTGCATCCTGGTGTTGGACATGATATATTTCAACATCTTGACACACCTCATCCCCCTTGTAAATACCTATTGTTTAGTACATTTTGTATTTAGGAAATTCTTACAATAACTGAGACTAAGTGGAGATCATCCTGGTCCATTTCCATCTATTCCTATCCATTCAAAGTTCCCTCATTTAGCTGACTTTTTTCTAGAGTAAGATGAATATAAAGTAATTATTTCACGTTAATTTTAAAGTGACTTAGAAAACTTGTCTTTTACCAGTGACATGTATAAAAAGATATATCCAGCAAGTATCATGTATATATGGAAACGTATGACTAGTTCCCCCCCCCCCACTACTTGTAAAAAGATTATTCTTTATATTATTTATGTTGTCTTGTATTCTTCCATGGACTGCACCAGTAGAGGCTAAACCAGGTTCGTTGTATACATGATGTACAATGACAATAAAGACTTTGATTGATTGATTGATAGATTGATGTCCGTATCATGGACAATCATACACTTCACATCTCCCTGCTACCACTCCAAGTCTGTGCTGCTGAAATTTGACAGCATAATCTCAGAATATTTTTCAGTCTTGGGGGAATTTACAGATAGGAATGGTAGCAAATTGTGTTCCAGAGGCTACCTACTCCATTCCCACTTTGAACCACATCCATAAATACCCTCTCTCCCCCCAAAGTCCATACAATTCAGCTGTACACCTGCTAGGAATTTACTACATCACTAATGGTCTCTTGCAACCTTCAGAAGGACAGACACTGACCGTATCAGAAGTATCCATCATGCTATTCTTTAATATTTAAATTTGAGTGGCAATAACTTTCCATTAATTTGGTCAGATCCTTCTCTGTCCATTTCTGGAAAGAGCAGGAACAGAACGTGAGACTTAATGCCTACAGTGCCTACCATTCCAGCCTTCTTGGCTATAATTCCTGGCTCAGAACTGCAGTGGCCAAAGTGACTCTTAGCTAGACGTCACCAGTGGAATTCCCCAGATGACTCACAACTTCCCTCCCTACACCAGGTACCTGATAGATCAAGCCCCACATAGTGGCAAAGATTATATCAATCAGCTTATGGACAAGTTGTTACTTCAAAACATCCGCTTTATTTTTCTACTGTAGTTAAATAACTCAGCTGGCACAGCAGAAATTTTCTTGGACTTCAAATAGCTTTTTCCTGGGAGGCCTTGGAAAGGGATTGTGCCCCTTTATTTTTTCCAGGTTCCCTGATTTCAACAGCTTTGGAGCATGAATTGATGTCTCATATCTCCTGCCTCCCCTTCCCTATTTGCTGTTGCATGTAAGCCCCTCCCCTCCCCCTCCATTGCATTTCTGACTGGCTACATTTGCTCTCAGTTGCTCTCTCTCTCTCTTCCCCCTACTTACTTTTTCCAAATGGGGCGCTGTCTTGTCACAGGATCAAAACCAGTATAGCTTGATCAATTGCCAATCCAAATTGGAGAGGGTGGAGGCTTATTTAATAACTTTGCTTTGGAGATCTGCTGGATGCTCATGAGTGCTTTCCGCTGGATGGCAAATGAGTCTATACTTCTGCGTCTAGCCCTCCCCCTACAGCCTACCCAGCTCTATATATAGGTAAAGAATTATTTACTCTTAGCCACAGAGGAACTTATCCCTGAGCACATTTGCTTAAATCTATTAGGATTATCCTATATGACAGTTCCGTTTTATTAAAGTGTAGCCACTCCCCTTTAGCTCACATTTGTATGAAATGAATTTAGTATTATCGATTCAGGCGGAATAACTTGTTTAGAGCAGTGTTTTTCAACCACTGTGCCGTGGCACNCCTTAATGGTCCATTGACAAAGGTGGGGGGAGGGCTGAGTTTCTGCTTCCCTTTTAGGGGGAATATTCTGTCCTTTGAATATTTCCTAAAATATTTCATTTTTTTCTAGGAGATGGGTAGGTGCTAACTTCCTACAATTGTGAAAAAGGACTGAAGTCAGACTTGGCTTGGCCCCAAAGTATTTTCAGGAACTTTCTCCAGCTGGAATCGGCCTTCCAGGTGTGCTAGTAGTCCTTGATTTCCTCACGAGGCTGCAGAGGCTTGTTATGTGCTGCTCTTCTGTTTGAACTGAGGATGGTCCCTACAACTTGGGACTTCCTGACAACTCTTGAAAGCAGAAGTGTACTAGGAGGCCTTACGTTGAAGTTTATGCCTGAGATGGTGACTGTACTACGGTTGTTAGGGGTATTTTTTTGTTCTCTATGTCATTTTAATTGTTTACAGTGGATGGCTTTTTAATGTTTCATAACTGATGACTCTAGATTGCCCCGGGTGATAAATCTAATACATAAATCAGTAAGATAGCCCAGTCTCCAGAGGGTCTCAAAAACCTGAATGATATCCACCCCCTTCCCCCTACATCTCAGTTAAAAGCCTTCCCTTGTTTTTGTAGCTATGAGTGACTTACACTTTCCATAACACTAAAGAAGGCAGGAAGAATTTAGCGGCTAGATTTGGGATAGATAGGGCTTCAGGATGCTGACCTTTTCTGA